AGAGAGTCTCCCGCTGGCGCAGACAGCAGCGTGGTGTCTGGTTTGTGATGCGTATACTTCTCTGTGGCTTGGTCCTCGTTTCTCTGTACACTACTCGTCTGCACCCCGTTCCTGGTCTTTTATTAGGTTGTCTTTTTCTTATTGGTTTGAAAAAACTCTTGACATAGGAAGGAAGCCCATACTTTCTATTCTGTGGCTGCAGATGTTTCCCCTTATTGGTAGTTGCTTTTGAGTTTGTTTATGTAATTGTTTTCCTTGCAGGAGGTTTTCAAGTGTATGTTTTCTTAGTGTTCTGCTTCGTTTTGTAATTCTTCTGTTTTCTCATGGTTTCATTGTTCATGTATGTGTTTAATCCGTCCGGACCTTATTTTGGTATTTAGCATGAAGTGGAGGATTGCAGCTTGTCTCTTCCCCAAACGGCCAGCCTGCATTTTAAATTATGCTTACACGGACGAGAACGCCATGACGAGAATGACAGCGTGGTGAGACTGCCCTGGTCTTGTCACCTGGGTTTTGTGAGTGTATGTTAAGCGGTGATGTGACCTCAGTTACCTCTCGTTAGCTGTGCTGAGACAGTACGCAGAGCTTTCATAATGACGGGGAAAGTTCAGCTTCCTGATGCTTTTTACAGAACAGCCAATTACATACTGATTTTTCCCCTCTGATTCCATTAGGACATAAGTCACATGCTAGTCCATTAACTGCATCCTCCCACAGCCAGCGCCTCTGAAACCGCGTTCATTCCTCCGATTGTCTGGCGAGTGAGTGGTGGCCTTGGGGACGAGATACGCCGCTGCAGATGCAGGAACAGGGATGGATGCTGCAGTGAGAGACGGCGGCCGTTACTGCTTTTCTCCTCAGTTCTGTTACGTGGGGTTTCCGTTAGGAGAATGAAGGGCAGAGGCTTAGTTAGCCCTGACGCCACCTTTACGCCACCTTTGTGTCAGACCCTTTTAGCAGATGAAAAAGCTGAGGCCCAGGCAGGTGAGAATCAGAGCTCCAAAGCCTGTGTCCTTGCTGCTGCCTGGTGGCATCAGGGATGTAGCTACTATGGGTTCTGTCCCCCGCTCCTGGCAGGGGACATCCTGGGCCAGCCAGCGCTCTAGAGCATGAAGGGCGGCCGAGGCCATAGCCAGGGCACAGGTCTGTGTGGGGACAGCACAGGGGGCAGCCTGGTGTGATGACGCGGCCAGCCTGGGTCAGGAGGACCTGCCACCAGTCTCCACCTGCTTACTCCTTCCTCCCTTTCCTCTCTGGGGGCTGGACTGGATGGCCTCCAGGGTGACCTGCTGTGCGTTACTGTTCTTATAGAACAACAGAGAGGGACAATCTGGAACCTGGCCACACATAGGGTGCTGCTGCCCCTGGGCCTCTGGGCCTTGTCTCTGGAGACCAGTGGGCCTGTCTTTCCCCCTCCTTCCATGAGGAGCACTGACCTGGGGTCAGCCCCCTGCGGGGACCGCTCTGCATCCTCCTCCCCTCCCTGGATCAGCCACCATCCTTGCCCTCGCTGGGGGTCAGCCCCCGACCCGAGGCTGCCTGGACTGACGTAGGGGTGAGTCTGTCTGGGCTCAGGGTCCAGCACTGGGGTGCCTTCCACCCCAGATGTGAGCCTGTTCTCCAGACTGGCTCTGCTTGTTACCTGGATCTCCACTAGTTTAGAACCTGAGGGGACAGGTGCCAATTACTGGGCTTCTTCAGAGGCTCCCGCATGTGGGCACCCACCCTGCAGATGCCTCCCTTCTCCCACCCCCACCTCCCGCGTCTGATTGTGTGCATTGGGCAGGAGGTGCACTGGGGTGTGTTGAGGGGTGCCTTGGGCAAGTGGTGTGCTGGAGGATGTATTGGGGTGGTTGGGTAGGCAGTGCACTGGAGGGTGCAGTGGGCAAGCAGTGCGGGGGAGGTGTAGTGGGGTGCCGTGGCCAGGTCTGTCCTCTAGACCAGCTGAGCAGTGTAGCCCCTTCTGTTCCCCGCACTCGGCCAGCTACATGCAGAGCCGGGGGTACTCTGCAGAGTTGGGGGTGAGTGGCAAGCAGGTGGGTTGCTTGTAGGTGCACCAGCTCAGCTCCCTGCAAGTGCCGGCACAGACACCGTGTGCAGGAACCGTGGCTCCGGGGGGATGAAGCTCCCTTGGAGTCTAGGTCGGGAGGTTTCACACGGATTCCTGAAGTGAAAGGTCTGGAATGGCTTAATAGGATTAGTGTCTTTCTCTTGACAGAACTTGTTCCTGCTGTTTGCTTTAGACAGCATAGATTTGTGCCATTAGCCAGGAAAGTCGGCGTGGAGGGAAAATAGACGAGGAGAAGCACATCTCTTGTAAAACGTGTCCTGTGCTTCAGCTGTGCTGTCTCGGGAACATCGGCTGATGGCGCAGGAGACGCCTGGCCCTGAACCTCTGTTCTCAGAGCAGACAGGCCAGGGGCGGCGCCAGAGCCACTGGGACTAGCCCTCCCATGTCCCTCACGTCCCCTGGCGCCCAGCAACCTCCACGGCCAGGCTGTCTGTTCCTGGAGCCTGCGGCCCCTTCTCTACGGCCCTGATGTTGACCTGTCCTGGGCAAGTGGTGGAGCTGACCGTGGGGCTGACTGCCCCTCCTCGAGCAGGCTCAGCCACACTGCCCTTCTCAGCTTGTAAGCTGGCCAGTTCTCCCACGGCTGTGGACATTCCAGAGAGGCGAGGATAATCTCCGCAGATGTATGTCATAAATTAGAATTATAGACGAAGGTTACTTCGTCACCCATCCCCTGCTGACCCGTCTCTGCTGCACTGGGCTCGTGAGGGGACAGTGCTGCATCACCTGGGGGCAGCTGCCCCCTGGCCGGCCCGGCCTGTCCGCTTATCCTCGGGGAAGGCAGGGCCAGGGGAAGGGGTCAGAGCGACTGAGGAGGCCGACAATACCCGCCGGCCCTGCTGAGTCCCCCCGGGGCCAGGCATCGTGTGTGTCCAGACGGCGGTTTCTGCCAACACAGGCTGACCTGTCTTTGTCCAGGTTTTGCCCACCTCCTGGTCACTGTGGGCAAACGGTGGTGACGTCCCTGCGCTGCTGCACGCTGATGTTCCTGCTTAGCGTGAGCATGCCCTGGGCACCGACCGTCCCTCTGCTCTGGAGCCTGCTTGTTGGGGGCACGGTGGCCCTGTCTTGTCCCGCAGGCCCTTGGCCCTGTGCTGACGGAGGTGACAGCATGGGGGCACCAGCGAACGTGTGGAGCTCCGTGGGTGGCCTGGGTGGATGCCCACTCCTGCAACATGGGGTGTGCATATCCTCTTAGCACATGGGTTCACGGTTTGTTTTGGTGACTAAAGCTCCAGACCTGGTGTCCCCAACAACCTCCCACTGCGTGGCCCCTGGGATTGCTCGTGAGAGATAGAGTAGCCTGCTAGCCCAGCCACAGGGGGCTGCAGGGGCCCCACTGTCGACTGCATTCCTGTCCTGCCCACAGAAAGTCTCATGACTTTGGGCAGGTAACTGCCCTGCTGAGCCTCAGTTTGCTCATCTGTAGAATGGGACTGATTTCATAGGGTTCCTGACTGAAACCTAGTAAGTTCTCCTACAGGTAGGTTGACTAGTGTTGAATTTACCAGACCTACCCTCTCCTTCCCTAACTCTTCGGTGAACAGGCCTGTGGGCCCCATAACGTGCTCTCGGGGGCAGGCAGCATGGCCAACAGGCCTGCCATGTGGGGCGGGGGGGGCCGTGTACAGCGCTCTGGGTTGACATGCCGTTGTGGGGGTCAAGCGTGGGGCGGGGGGGGCGTGAATTATGACTATGGCACCCCCACGTGACCTCGCCCTCCCCTGGAAACCAGGGCGGGGCTTTTTCCCCGTGTGACGTGTTTGTGATCTTATGCTTTCAAGGAACGAACTGCTGTTGCTTCTAGAAGGGGCCCTTGCCCGTCACAGCCTTGCTGGAGCCGGGCGTCAGGATACAGAAACCCTTTCCCCCCTTACGCTCTCGTGTCCAATTCTAGTCCTGCCCCCTGCTAGGAACACAGATGTTCCCTCCAAACTGCCACCATGGGCTTCAGAAGGCTGCTTCCAGCCCAGAGGACCCGCCTGGCTCAGGGCAGAGCGGTGGTGAAAGGTGCGGCCCATGGCCCCAGGGAGACCGCTCTCGTGGTGGGCAGGGTGAGCCAGGCGTAGCTGTGGGTGAGGGGGCAGAGCCCGAGTGTTGTGTTCAGTTCCAGATGCTTCCTCGCTGTCCCCCAGCACCCACTTGTCAGTGGGAGGAAGAGGGTCCTGGAGGTCAGGAGACATGGAGGGAAGTGTCAGGCGGTGGGTGGCCAGCCTGGACCACTGTAGGGGTTCTGTGGGGTCTTGGGTGCTGAGTGAAGTATGCTCTTGGTGTCCCCTGTGGCCAGCTGGGCCGGCAGGCACAGGACAGGACGGAGGTGTCCTGGTATTTGAAGGTGTCCCCCAAAGACCTTGACAGAGTCTCTAGGGCTCCACTTCTCAGGGGTCCGGTCCCTCCCAGCCCTCAGCAGGCATTGCTGTGTTTCACAGGCGCTCCCAGCGTGCGCCATTGAGGAATCGCTGGGACCAGACATGGGGCTAGGCACATGGGCCTGGCTCCCAGCCTGGCTCCCAGCCTGTGGCTTAGAGGACGCACAGATGCAGAGTGGGCCCTGGGAGACTGCGCTGTGGAGGCCTGGCATGCTTCTGTTCTCCATGGTCCAGGTGGCCTCCTCCTGAGCGGTCTGACCTTCTCTTTGCCTCATTAGTGACACAGCAACCTGTGCTCAGGCCCCTGTGGGGCTGGGTGCACGGGGTAGAGAGGGCTTGATCTGGGGCCTCCCTGTTGATAAACACATACCTTGGGAGTTCTGGGGCTGGCCAGTGGTAGGTGACTGGGGCCGTTACCTCAGGGAGCACTCTGGTACGTGGCCTACATGACGCTGAGTGGCACCCACTGCCTGCCTGTTCCCAGGCTCCCTGGGTGGGGAGGGGCCTTGGCTCCTGCTCTGGGAACGCCTCGCTTACCTCCACATCCTCTCTCTCCTCAGGTGCAGAGACAAAGAGTCTTTTGCCCAAGAAGGAAAAGCTGAAGCTGAGACATGAGAGGTGGCTACAGAGTAAGTCATGACATTGTCTTGGGTGATGGTGACATTATGGCCTCGTCCACAGCCCAGGAGTGGCATGCCGGTGGCTCCTCATCCTTTGCCCATCCCACCCACGCTCTGGTCAGGGGCCCTGGGGGAGCAGATGCTGGGGTGGGGGCATGTCAGTGGTGGCTGAGGGCCGTCTGTGGGAGGCCTCAGCAGCCCCCTGATGAGGTCTTCAATGTGACAAACAGACGGGTCCTGGGAGTGGGTGGCACTGAAATCTGCAGAGTGCGGACTTCATCTTCCCTAAGAAAATAGTCCCAAGAAGCTGCTAGACTCAGCTCTTATTTATAAAAGCTGTTCTGTTCTTTGGTTCCCATGATGAATTTTTAATTCCAAAAGTAATGTGTGCTTGTTTTGAATATTTCGTGGCACAGAAGTCTCTAAAATAACAGGTGAAATCAGTTTTAGGTTAGGTGTGTGTCCTTCCAGACTGCTTCCACGCATCTAAAAATACAGCACATGTACGTATGCACTGGAGGTTCTCGGAGCGTGCTCGGGCGGTTCTCGGAGCGTGCTCTGAGGACTCTTGGGGTCCCTGAGACCCTTTCAGGGCACACGTGGGTCCTTTCTTGTCCAAGTATGTATCTGTGTGAGGTTGGTTTTCCCTCATACACTTCCTGCAAAACAGCTCACAGCAGATTGAACGCTACTTTTCTCACTGCTAATTTTTTTGGAAAATATAATTATTTTTCATAAGTAATGGGCTACTTATGTTAGTGTGAAATGGGTTTATCGTTGTTATTTTAAAATGAACTAATATTTTAAATTTTCCCGTTTTACTTTTGAATATGGTAACAATCAATTGGTATAATCCACAAAAACAAAAGCTCTTTGGGATCCTCAGTAATTTGTAGGAGTGTAAAGTGTCTTGTGACCAAAAAGTTAGAGAGCCGCTGGTACACAGGCACTTACCAGGGTTGTCGGTGAGGTTACACCAAACAAACTGGGTTTGCTCCCTCTTCCTGAACCGAACTGACGCTCCTGCCTGGTGGGCATCTGCTCGCTGCTTCACGTGTCCGTGGAAAAGCCTGTTGTGCTTTACCGTTCAGTGTCGCGCCACGAGTTAGTTCAGGTTTACATGTTTTTGATATTAGTAAGGAATAGGCATCTTTTCTCAGTTCGCTACATTTTTATCAAGAATGGTGACGTACTAAATTTTTCAGCATTTTTGGGCACCTTTTGAATGATAGCTGTTTTTTCTTCGTTTTATTTCTCATGTGCCTGTTGACATGAGCAGTTGCCTGAATAGATTTCTTACTTTTATTCTGTAATAGACTTTACTGAACATGTTAGATTATTTTTATTTTTAATATCATGCTGAATACTTGCTAATGTTTTCTAAAAGATATTCTTGTAATGTTTTTATATTTTTTTTTTTCTTACTGTGATGTTTTTTGTATGGCCTTGCCGACTTTGTAAAATTCATTTGGAATATTTTCTTCTTTATGTTATCACATAGTTAAAATATGATCTGCATAAGAATTCCAAGACTTCTTATCTTTGTCAATTCTCTGTTTTTCTAAATTATTGGTTTCTATTTTACTAATTCCCAGTTCTTGCTCTCTTTGGATCTTTTGAGTTACTTACCTCATTTATTTTCACATCTCCTTATTTCCATGGGAAAACCTTAAAGGCTGTTAACTGGCCTGTAGATACAGCTTTAGCTGCATCTTCCAAGTCCATTTTACCTAGCATTGTATTATGAAAAATTTCCTGCAAAAAAGTTGAAATAGTTCTACAGCGAATGCTCCTGTACTCCCCACCTAGATTCTGCAATTAGCACCTTACTTATTTTATCATGTATCTGTTCATCTGTCCATTCCTCAGAATCTACCCATCACCCGTATCCCTTTTTTTTTGCCTTCCAAAGTGAGTTGCAGGCATCAGTACACTGTCTCCCAAATGATCCTGCTGGAGTTGAGCATTTGTCTATGGTTCTTTTTTTTTTTTTTTTTTAGGTAAAACTTACATATAATGAAATGCAAATCTCAAGTGGGCCTTTCAGTGATTTCTGACAAATACGGGCACCTCTGTCATCAAAACCCCTTTTAGGATGCAGACCATCGCTGTCTCCCAGAAGCCCCCTGTGCCCCTTCCCAGTCAGCTCCTGCTCCACCGTCCCAGAAGTCCCAGTGCTCTGACTGGCTCGTCCACAGTTGTTTGCTCTAGACTTCACGTGAATGGAATCCTGCAGGTCGTTTTTTTTTAATGTCTGGCTTCTTACGCTCAGCGTTGTGTGTTTGACGTTCCTCCATGCTGCATGCAGCAGCCATTCCTGCCTTCGTATTGCTGAGAAGTATTTCACTGTGTGAATACGCTGCTTGCGTGCCATTTTTCTGTTGATGGACACCTGGGCAGTTCCCAGCTTTAGCGACTGTGGAGGGGGCTGCTATGAACATTCTTCACATGTCTTTTCGTGGACATGTGTTTTCATTTCTCATGGCTAAGTACTTGGGAATGGAATGTTGGGTCAGAGGGTAGGTGTATGTTTAGTTTTATCAGCAGCTTCCAGACGCTTTTCTAAAGTGGTCAGATACCCACACTCCCGCCAGCACTGGGTGAGGGTCCTTGTAGTGCCACATCTTCGCCAGCGTTTGGTGGTGTCTACCTCTTTAAGCTTGGCCGTTCTGGTGGCTGTGAAGTGGTGGCTCATTGTGGTTTTACTTAAATGGCCATGAAACGAAAGAGCACGTCATTTGCTTTTTGCCCGTTTGTATGTCATCTTTAGTGAAATGTCTGTTGAAGTCTTTTGCCCATTTTTTCATTAGGTTATAATTCTTTGATGACTTTAAAATTTTCTTCCATAGTGATTGGCCCTTTTTTTTTTTTTTTACTACTTGAGTCAATTTTGGCTACTCATGTTTTCCCATCAAACAATCTTTTCTTACTGAGCCGTCGAAATTCTTTATATAACCCAGATACCAGTTCTTTGTCGGGTATGATTTTCAAATATTTTTCCCAGACTATGGATGACTTGTCTATTTATTTTCTTAGTGATATGTTTTGATGAGCAGAAACTCAATTTTGAGAAGTCCTTTTTTTCCTATACAGTTTGTGTGTGTATCCTGTTTAAGAAAATGTAGTAATAACTCTCTAAGAATCAGCACCAAGCTGGTTCCTATGAGGCGGAGGTAAAATATACTCCTGCTCTCCAGCTTCACCATTTCTGACACCAGTCGTTCCCTCCTACGGCACTGTTTCTCTATTGGGTCTGCTAACTCATTGGAAGGGTCACGGAGCACTCACGGAGACAACATACTGCAGTAACAGCTTTAACAACGGAGAAGGGTACAAACCGAAACAAAGAGCAAGGTTCAGGAGGGGCCCCAGCATGGGGCCTCAATGTCAGAAGGAGGCCTCTTACCCTTCCTGAAAACCAGTGTTCATTCTCACCCCTCAGGAACATTTCGGACAGGAAACTCAATGACCTCACTTGGCAGCCTCGGCTGTTGATCACTTTTCTCAGCTTTCAGCTGCGGTTTGGTCCTTACACTGTGCTGTCACCATCCGGGTCTGCTCATTGACGCCACTTCTTCTGGTACTGTTACAGCCGCTGCCTCTGTCACCGTTTGCTCTGTGGGCTGACTTGCCCACCACAGCTGTCCCTCTTATCTTCAGTGTTACAGCCCTCGACCCATATTACAGCTCTTGTGTTTGGGTGTAGGAGGTTCTCAGTGCAGGGACCCCAGGTCTAAAGGATATGTTCTTCTCCTGGCTCTTGTTGATCAGTAAGTCCCCCAAAACCTCTGTGAGACTGGCCACTTATATAGGGACACTCCTTGTCAATTTCAGGGGGTGACTTTTGTAAACCTACCAATCCTTTAGGTGGACCATAAACGGATGATCCTATTGGGTGGATTTGCAGCCCTCTTAGGCAGATAATAAACTGACCAATCACTTGCCTATATGGATAGTAAACGGATCACCTGGAAGATCGCGGCCCAACCAGTCATTTTGGGAGAATTACAAACCCAGGCCCCCAAAGGCCGTATAAAGAAACTGTTGCACCACAGAAAATTTTATCTAATTCCAAGTCAGGAATTCTATGTTTTCTTGTAAAAATTTTATAGTTTTAGCTCGACGACAGTAGGTTTTGGTTTTTTGGTGTGATGTGAGGTCCCTGAGTGTGCAGACAGTGTTGACTGCTGACCCGCTGGTACCGCAGAAGAAGAGGCCTGGCAGTCTGTTCCCATGAAGATGACGGCCAAGACAACCCCGTGGAGTGGTTCTGCTCTGTAACACCTGCGGTCACCGAGAGTCGGAGTCAGCTCAGCAGCAACTACAGCAGCATGAGGTGTTGGCTCAGGTTCATTGTTTTCAATACAGATATTCAGTTGTTCTAGCACCATCTGTTACAAAAACTTTTCCTTCTTGATTGGATTGTTTTTGTGCCTTTGTCAAAAATCAGATGGCCTCACAAGTCTGGGTCTGCTTCTGGGCTCTCTTTGGTTCGGTCGATGAGTTCAGCATACCTTGTATCTCGGTTATTGTAGCTTTAGAGTAAGTCTTAAAGTTAAATAATGTAAATCTTCCATCTTAGTTCTATTTTAAGATTGCTTTCAATATTCTAGGCCCTTGACCTCACCATATAAATTTTACCATTAGCTTGTCAATTTCTTAAAAAACAAAAACAAAAACAAAAAACCCACACCTAGTGAGATTATGATTGGGATTCCATTGGTCTGTATAGATCAGTTGTGGGGGCGTTGACATTGAATGTTCAAATCCATGACGATGGAACATCTCCACTTATTTAGGTTTTCCGTCAGCAGCGTTGGGTAGTTTTTGTGTCAATGTAAAGTTCCAGTTGGTCTTTATGTTAATATGTAATCTTGTGTCCAGTGACCCTGCTGTCATCACGTTAGTTCTAGTTAATTCGCAGATCCCTTAGGATTTTCTGCATAAGTAATCATGCCACTTTAGAGACAGCTTGGCTTCTTCCTGTCCACATTTTACCCTTCTGTGTCTTTTTCCGGTCTTACTGCAGTGGCCTATATTTTGGTGAAGCGTTGGTAGAAGTGAGGAGATTGGACACCCTGCCAGCCCCCACCCGGAACCTGGTTGGTTCTCAGGCCACGATGGTGCTGAAACAAGGTGCCCACCCAGTCTCCCTACTCCAGGCCCTGTTTATGAGGGGCTTTCCCTCGGTTTTATAGAAGACTAGCAAATGTGGGAGGGGGTGACAGGGAAGCTCCCGGGCTTCCTATCTTCTCCACTCTGCCATCAAGCATGGATGGGCCCTCAGGGGCTGTGGCCGCCCAGCGCCATACGTGAACCAGGTGTCCACCCACTGATGTTCACGTGCCCCTAATGCGAGGCCCCACGTAGCCAGGGTGTCGTGTGTGGAGGCCCACTGTGACTGTGGAACGTGTTCAGGAGTCTCCGGCCAGCTAGTTTAAGCTAGGAGTCGGTCACAGCCCGCTTCTGGGCCCCTGGGGGAGCAGGGCAGCAGCAGGGCCCAGGCCAGGCCAGTGTTGCAGCGGGTCCCACCGCCCTGTAGCTCCTCCCCGTCGCTCTTGCTCTGGAACTTGCTGCTTGTAAACCACAGTTTACAGAAGGGAGCTCCCTCCGCCCCCCAGCTCTTGCACCATTACTTTTAGTTTACGTCTCATCTTTGTCTTTACTGGGCAGGCGCTCCCTCGGCCTTTAGTTTTGGCCTAGTGCACTGGGGGCCCGCTGTGACAGTACACCCTCACGTTGGTGCCTGCTTAGTGCTGTGTGCCACCCGTACCAACGCCAGGATGGCGGGTCAGTCCCACCCTGCGCCCTCAAGGGGCTGCCTGGAGAGACGCAGAACCCAGACTGACCCAGGCCTGAGGGGCGAACGGGGGAGCCGTGGCCAGAGCCCACCGAGGGACCGTGAAGGGGCCGCAGGACTGTAAAACCTGTGGGGCTTCCCTCCCTGGTAGACGAGTCGTTTGTTGTTGGAAGTTAGTCTCTTGAAAACGCCTGCTCAGTACTTGTGTCAGAGCCTTGGAACGGCAGTGCTTGGCACTCTGGGTAAATACCGGAGACCTGGGTGCGTGATGCATGCGGCACACGACCCACGGAGCCCAAGCTATGGCGAGCGCTGGTGGCTGTGCTCAGCTTTGCCCTTACAGGGCGGTGTTTTCCCTCAGATCCTCCAGCGCTACCGTCCTGCCTCTGCCACACAGTTCTATGTCCCATCTGTCCCTTCTGGACACCACGCCTCGTCACCGTCTCTGCACCCCCGTCCAGGAGTGCAGTTGTTCCACCCACCTGCGGTGACTGAGACCTCTCAGTCCGACCGCAGGAGAAGAAGGATTTCCTGTAGGCAGACAGTCATTGTGCTTGGGGCAGTCACAGGCGGGCTCACGGTGTTGCTGGGCAGCAGGTGGGGAGGGGTGGCCCCTCTGGATTCTTCCGCGCTGCCTGCCAGCCGTGTTTGGATGCTGCCCTCGCGGCGTTATCCTGGGGGATGGAGGCCGGTCCAAGACCTGCACCCAGACAGCAAGTATGGGGAAAGAACAGGGGTGAGCACGTGGGCTTCAGTCTCCATATTGAAGGCTAAAGACATTTGTGAATGCAAATCAAGTCCCGAGGCCCTGCCCCAGTCCAGTCCCAGGCTGAGGTCGCGAGGCCCTGCCCCAGTCCAGTCCCAGGCTGAAGTCCTGAGGCCCTGCCCCAGTCCAGTCCCAGGCTGAGATCCCGAGGCCCTGCCCCAGTCCAGTCCCAGGCTCAGGTCCCGAGGCCCTGCC